AACGAAGGATTTTAAAGCTCCATCACACATACTTCAGACACATGGCCAGGAGAAACCAGTCCTTGCAAAGGAAATCATACTTGGGAGTGTAGAGGGACAACACAGGAGATGAAGACCATGGATGAGATGGATTGACACAGTAAACTGGGGTTATGGGGGCAGGTATGTCAGAGATGCTGAGACTGGCTCAGGATAGGGTAGGGTTCAGAGCTATTGTGCATAGGGTTGCTATGAGTCACAGGCAACTCGACTACACAAAATAACAACCTGTATATTCTTGCTTGCTTGTTTGCATTTTCTGTAGTAGTGGTTTAATTGAGAGTATGGTTGGGAAGACTAGGTCAGCCATCATGTTTTAGCTTTATTTTACTTAGTGAGCATTCAATTTTACTTAAAGATTACAACTTTGGAAACCCTGTGGGAAGTTATACTTTGTTCTAAATGATTGTTTTGATTCATAATCAACTCATTTGGCAATGGGTTTTGGGATTGTTTTTTATAGCCTCAAACATGGCAACAGTCATGAAGATGTCACAGGAGTGGTCACCACAAAAGGGATCAGACTCCAGTGGAATTAACAACTTGGGTTCAGGTCTCCTTGAAGTTGTGATATCATATCTGCAAACAGGCTGAAGCTACTATTTAATTCAGTACTTAAAATAAAACTAAGTGCCCAGCGACAATAGCGAAGTTCAACAGAGCAGCAAACAATAAATGCTTGTGAGGTTGTGGAGAGATTAGAACCCTTATTCTCTGCTGGTGGAAGCGTAAAATGGTGTAACCACTATGGAAGGTGTTTTGGCGCTTTCTCGAAAACTTAGAAATACCATTTGACTCAGCAATGCCACTACTAGGAATATACCCTAAAGAAATCATAACTGCCATCCAAACAGATAGATGCACACCCACATTTATTGCTGTGTTATTTACAATAGCAAAGAGATGGGAGCAATCCAAATGTCCATCAACAAATGAATGGATAGAAAAACTCTGATATAATCATACAATAGAATACTATACAACACTGAAAAACAACTCTTAAAACATTACACAACATGAGTGACCCTGCAGGACATTATGCCAAGTGAAATATCTCCGTTACAAAAGGATAAACACTGCATAGTATCACTGTTATAAAGCAGGTCTGACATGAGAGTTGGGAGAATAGAATAAAAGTAGATAGACAATGAACATTGCCCTGGAACAGATGAAGGAAAGACTGTTTAAAAGGAATACATGATTGGGCATTATGTGTATGACAACAGCCCAGAATAAGAGGTACATTGCAAAGAGGACTGAGAGGAGGGAGGGAATTGTACAACAATGAACGAATGTTAAGAAAAACAAAAAACGGTTAACTGGGAGAGAGGAAGAGTAGGGAAGGGGGGGTAAAAATGTGCAAAAATCAATGAATGACAATCTAACTTTTCTGTAAACTTTCATTAAAATAAAAGGTTTTCTTAAAAAGTATCTCTCATGTATACCCATGTTTATTGTGGCTTTGTTCGCAACAGCAAAGAGCTGGAAACAACCCAAGTGCCCATCAACAAATGAATGGATAGAGAAGATCTGGTATATCCACACAATGGAATACTATGCAGCATTGAAAACAAAGAACTTATGCAATATTATGCAAAATGGTTGGCCCTGGAGGACTTTATGCTGAGTGAAATACCTCAGTCACAAAAGGACAAATATTGCATGCAGCCACTGTTGTAAAACAGGACTGACATCAGGATTGAGAGAAGACAGAGAAGGAGGGGAGGAATGAGGTATATTGCATTGAAATAGATGAGGGAGAGATCTGTTTAAAAGGGATATATGAATAGGTATTCTTGTCATTACAGAAGTCCAGAGTGAAGGCTGCATAGTGGAATGAACTTGGGGGGAGGGATTGCATAACAATGAAAGAGTTTTCTTTTTATTTTCAAGGAGATGAGTGATTTGAGGGTAAAGGGGTGGGCAGGGAGGAAAGTGCAACAATGAATGACTGGAAATCCTAAGTCTCTGTAAACTTTCATTAAAATTAATAAATTTTTTTAAAAAAGTATATCTCTCTCTGAGGGAGCTCTGGTAGCCTAGTGACAAGAAGCTGCACTGCAATCCCAGAGGTATGCAGTTCGAATCCACCAGATGCTATTCTGGAGGAGGGAGAATCTCCTCCAGTACCATTCATACAAAAAATCTCCTCCTGTGTCAGTTGGATCTGATTCAAGAGCACACACCTACAAAGGTTTGTTGGGTGTTTTTTTTGTTTGTTTTGTTTTTTAAATATGCGTTGTGGCTGTTTGGATTTTTCAGTGCTATGTTTAAAGAAAAAAAGGTATATAACTCTATGGATTGAAGCTCAACATTAGAATAACAAAGATTCTCACCAGTGGGCCAATTGTTAGCATCATGATAGATAGTGACAAAATTGAGATTGTTCATTGCTTTAGTATGCTTGGCTCCACAATCAGCACTTTTAGTGCCAGCAGCCAGGAAATTAAAAGACAAATTGCACTGGGAAAGTCTATTGTCAGAGACCTTTCCAAAGTACTGAAGAGCAACGATGTCAGTCTGGAGACTAAAGTGCGCCTGATCTAGGCTATAGTCTTTGCGATCACTTGCTATGCATCAGAGAGCTGGATAATGACTAGGGATGACAGGAGAATTGATGCCTTTGAGCAGTGGTACTGGAGAAGAGCATGGACTGCTAGGGGAACAAACATGTTCGTTCTAGAGAGGGTTAAACCAGGCTGCTCCTTGGAGGCAAGGATTCTAAAGCTTCGTCTGACCTACTTTGGACATGTTGCAAGGAGGGACCAGTCCTTAAAGAGGGACATCATGCTTGGGAGAGTGGAGGGCAGAACAAGAGAGGAAGATCCCCGATGAGATGGATTGACTCAGTGACTGGAGTAATGGGGTTAGATGTATCAGAGACAATAAGTTTGGCACAGGATAGAGTAGGGTTTAGGACTATTGTACATAGAGTCATTGTGATTCGCAGGCGACTAGACGGCACATAAAAACAAGTGGTTGACACAAAATTGGAGAAATTCCTCAACCAGTAGTCTCAAGTGTGGCGGAACCACTGTGGACTTAGAAACTCATCCAGGCTCTCAAGAACACCCTGGAAACAAGTAGCTCACCTGGCGGCAGGAAGAGCGTGGCGCGCACCCGGCCCGCGCGCACCTGCTCTCTCCGCACCCCGGGCCGCAGGAAGGCGCGCTCGTGCACCGCGCTGCCCAGGACCCGCCCGGGCTCCGGCTCGTGGCCCTCCAGCACCTCCAACTCCACCGCGAACGGCGTCCGCACGTCCCGCTTCATCAGCTGCAGCAGAGGCTCCTCCGGCTCCAGGGCCCAGAAGAGCCCCATGGGCTCGAGGCCCGCGAAGCTGCCGCCCAGCGCGGGCGTGCGCGTCAGGTCGAGCTCGCCTCCGCGGTCCGCGCAGTAGCGCGCGTGGGCCCGGAAGAGCGCGCCCTTCTCGTCGCGCAGGGACGCGCGCAGCGTGACCGGCTGCTCTGAGGCCAGGCCGCGCACCACGATGCGCACCGGCTCGTCCCAGCAGCAGAGGCCCGCGGGCTCTATGGTCACAGTGGCCGCCATGTCCATTTGCCCTGAAAAGGTGCTGCCAGGATCCATGAAGTCACGTGAGGGATTGGCAACTCTCGGTCTTCCTGGTAAGGCCACTGTATGAGGTCTCTTAAGAAGTTTGTATAAATCCACCAAATAACGTGAACTGAGGGAAATGAATCTGTTTAAACAGTGATTAATGTTGCAACATGTGGTCAATGTTTAAACAGGTACAAAGTCTGGGGAGCACGAGAGTCCACTGGTGGCCCAGTGGCAAGGAAGCTGCACTGTAATCTCAGAGGAGCGCGGTTCGAGTCCGCCAGAACCTCTGCTACAGGCAGGGAAATCTCCTGTACCAGTCAGATCCAATTTGACAGTACACACGCACATATAAAATAAAGTCTACTGAGAACGAAAAGATTAAAGACGTCATCTGTACCAGGGATTTAGATATTTAGAGTGTTACAGGTAGTTGTAGTTCTAGGCTGAAGCGGAGACGGGACCCTAATCATTCTTAGTCCCTCCCTCATCAAGCTTTAATTTCTAGAGCCAAAGGAATTTAGAAAGCTTCGAGAGCATGTTGATATTTGCACTGTCAACCTAGCTGGAGTCCCATCTTTTCTTTTTTTGAGGGGTAGGGGGTTAATTGTTTCTTGTCAAGTCGGATCCTACTGGTCCAGAAGGAGATTGCCACTCCCTCTCCAAAAGAGCACCTGGTGGATTCGAACCGTGCTTCTTTCCTCATCTTATTCTTAATAACATTTAATAAGGTCCTTCATTGCATAAGCTGAATCCGCTGCTGTTCTTTATGATAGGCTTTTTGTAATGTTTGTAAAAACCCTGCACTTACATGCCTGCAGTAGATACTCAGCAAGGCACCTCTCTCCCTTACCTCTCTCAAATCTAGCCCCAGCCGCCTCAGATAAACTTAGTTTCCTTTTGCCTTCCAGTCTCTTGCAAGTGACCATCTTTTGCTGAGCCTAAGTGTAGAAAGATGGGTCTATAGAACTCAGCCTCCCTGTTCCCAGAACAGGGTGGAAAGGAGAAGAATAGAGCACGTAGAAAGATCCAGTAAGCTGTTAGGTGCCACTGAATCGGTTCTGATGCCCAGCAACTTTGTGTTTATCAGAAGGCAACATTTTTTAGCCCGCCCTGCACCCTCTTCACAACCGTTGCTATTGGAGCCCATTGTTGCAGTTGCTGTGTCATTCCATCTCATTGTTCATCTTCATCTTTTTATTGACCCTCTGTTACCATCAAAGATGATGTCCTTCTCCAGGGACTGGCCTCTCCAGAGAACATGCCCAAAGTATGTGAAATGAAGTCTCCCTGTGTTTCCTTCTTAGACTCATTCTTGGCTGCTCTTCTTCCAAAAAAAGATTTTGTCTGTCCATCTGGCTATCCTTAGTATATTCTATTTTCTTCACCAGCACCATAATTTTAAGGTACCTTTATTCATTTTTCAGCTTTTATATAGTAAAAAGAGCAAGGACTGCAGGGGGACAGCTATATCTCACCCCATCAACTCTATAAAGGGGAACTGCCCCTGTCAACAGCACCCAAAGCACAAAACTAACTCCCATGAGGTCCAACACATCTCCCCTGCTCCTGCACCTCTGTGTACTCATCCCAACACCAATCTTACTGCTTTACTTGGTCCAAAATCCATTGAAGTAGCTCACAGACCACACAGAACCATATAAGGGAAGTTAAAAGGCTATAACTGAGGTTAATAGCAGAAATTCCCTAGTTAGGATAGCTCCCAAAATGTGCTTGTAGGCACCTCAGCCTGGAGCCTGGCAGCTTTAGGCCAGTCCTGCCAGTTATGGCTCTCTTCTCTACCACCACCCAAGTTGTCCAACAGACTTAAGCTAAAGGCTCCTAGTTCTGGTTCCCTGTAGTAGTCGCAAGATCTTCTCCATTCTATGTCAGGTCTCTGGTTCTCTGCTGCCACTGCTGTGGCTACTGAACACCTAGGCTCAAGTCTGGCTGTCATAAGAATCTCTGGCCCTGAAGGACATTCTACATTCTCTTACTCTTTATTTGCTACTGGTGAAGTTTCTTCTATTCTGCTGCTGCTGGATCTGCTTAATTTAATGGCAAGCCTACTCTTGTGAATTAGTGAGACTAGTCAATCCCCTTGTGAATAGGCCAACATACCTTATTCACGTATTCCTGCCCATCTACTTGGTGGCAAAGTCAAATTCAATGGCTAAGAAAGCCATTTTGAACAATAAACGCTTAACACCATACATATGTATGTGAAGTGGTTGAAATTACCGAGACATGGGTCAAATACAACTTGTTTGTTCAGGTGACATTTTTGCTTTGAATAATAAAGAGATCCTCTGTAGCAGATTTGGCCAATTGTCATTTGATTATTTAGCTGCTGCTTCCATAGGTGTTGACTGTGGATCCAAGGAAAATGAAATCTTTGACAGCTTCAGCATTTACCCTGTTTAATATAATGCTGCTTAATGATCCAGGTGGTTTTTCGCCCTCTTATTATTATATTGAATGGCACATCTGTACATTGGTCTTACAATAATGGCTTGTATGTTGCTGTGATTCTGGAAGCTATTGTTATTGTTGTTATGTGCTGTCGAGTCGCCTATTCTGCATACAGATTGAAAAGTTATGGAGACAGAATAATTCCCTGGTGGACCCTCTTCCTAATTTTGAACCATGCAGTGTCTCCTTGCTTTGTTCTGATGAGGGCCTCTTGGTCCAAGTATAGGTTTCACATAAGCACAATCAAGTGTTCTGGGATTCCCATTCTTCTCAGAGTCAGCCACAGCTTGTTGTGATCCACACAGTCAAAAGCCTTTGCATAGTTAATACCAGTATTTCAACAGGATCATTGACAGTGGATATATTCTAGCTTCGAGACTAAAACAGACTACAATGAAGGACTGACAATCTACTTCTGTGGAATGTAATATTCAAAATGGTCTTTCCTAGCCTGACTTGGCTATGTGGATGGGCAGGGCTAGGTGAATAGGGACTATTAGCCTACCCACCAGGAGATTGGCTAGTCTCACCAGTCCACACAGAGGATTGGCTAGCCCTGCCTTTAAAGTGAGTACATCCAGCAGCAGAGAGAGTCTCTCATCACCAGCAAAGGAGAAATGGGCATGTAGTAGGTGCCCTTCAGGACAAGAAATTTTTGTTCCAGCTGTGGGAACTGCAGCCATAGCTGAAGCAGAAGACAAGGGAGAGACCTGACATGAGACAGAGCTGATTGCTATCCTCCATGGACAGAACCAGAGCTAAGCTAAGAGTCTTTGTCCAAGTTTGTTGGACAAATGAGGGTGGAGGGAGTGGAGCCAATATTTACTGGACTGAGAACTTTGAAACGCTGGCCTAAAATTGTGAGGCTCAAGGCTGAATGCCTGTGAAAACATTTTGTAATCTGACCTGATTGAGTGACTCTCTTTGGCTATTCACCTGAATTAACCTTTTAGTTCTCCAGTATCATTCTGTGTGAATGATCAACTATCACTTTGGATTTTGGACCCAGTAAAGCAAACAAAGATTCTTACCACTGGGCTGATTGGCAGCATCATGGTAGACAGTGAAGAGATTGAGACTGCTAAAACCTTCAGCTTTCTTGACTCTGTAATCAACACTCTTGGTATCATCAGCCAGGAAATCAAAAGACAAATTGCATTGGGAAAGTCTGTTGTCAGGGCTTCTCCAGAGTATTGAAGAACAATGATGTCAGTCTGGGGACTAAGGTGCACTGGATCCAGACCATGGTCTTTGCAATTACTTGTTAAGCATCAGAAAGCTGGACAATGACTAGGGATGATAGAAAGAAAGATAATTGATACCTTTGAACTGTGGTGCTGGAGAAGAATATTGAATATACTGTGGACTGCTTGGAGAACAAACAGATTCATCCTAGAGAGGATGAAAATAGGCTGCTGCTTGGAGGCAAGAATTCTGAAGCTTCATCTGACATATTTTGTTCATGTTGGAAGGAGTGACCAGTCCTTGGAAAGGGACATCATGCTTGAAAGAGTGGAGGGATAGCACATGAGAGGAAGACCCTTGATGAGATGGATTGATTAAGTGACTGGGGTACTGGGAGTAGGTATCTCAGAAACAATAAGGTTGGTTCAGGATAGAGCAAGTTTCAGGGCTATTGTACATAGGGTCGTTATGAGTAGCAAGTGACTTGATGGCTCATAACAAAAACAAAGCAGTAAGATTGGTGTTGAGATGAGTAGAAAGAGGTAAGGGAGCATGGGGGACATGTCAGACCTCATAGGAATTGGTTTTGTGTTACTGATGCTGTGAACAGGGACCCCTTTATGAAGTTGGTAAAGGTCAGATAAAGCTGTCCTCACATTGCTCTTTCTACATTTGGTGTCAGAAACTGGGTTCAATGTGATGGCTCCAGACTCATGGAAATGTGGGATTTTGTAAGAAGTTAAGATCTTGGGAAGTGAAGTTAAATTGGATACTTTTGCTGCAACTAAAATAGAAGAAAACGTTAAACTACTTTTGGCTTGAGGCTCTATGCATATGAATGAGGTAAGCTAGAATTTTGAAGCTCTGTCTCACGTACTTTGGCCATGTGGCTAGGAGGGACTTGTCCTTGGAGAAAACATATCTTGCTTGAAAGGGTGGAGGGACAGTGCAGGAGAGAAAAACCCTGGATGAGGTAGATTGATACAGTAATTAGGGCAACGAATAGGTGTGTTGGAGTCAGTGATACTGGCTCAGGCTAGGGCAGGCTTCAGAGCTATTGTACATAGGGACAGTATTAGTCACAGGTGACTTGATGGCACGTAACAACAACAACATTAAGATTGTATATATCTGAACGATGTATTATTAACAGGTCTTCCTTGTATGCATATGGATATTATCACTCACAACATTATATTTCAGGATGATCTAGAAATGGTATTGACTATGAAGGCAACCCCATTTTTCCTCACCTTTTCCTTTCCATTTCCAGCATAGTAGATCATATGACTATCTGATTCAAAATGTCCCAAGCCGGTTCATCTCATTTCACCAAT